TTGACCACCCCAGGGTGGTGAAAATTTACAATTCTGGCAAGAATTTGCACACTTCTTAAAATTCCAAATTTTAGGCTGAAAAAAGACTTTTGACCATCTGTAGACACTGCAGGAATGATATGGGGACTAAAGAAAATTTGTCCGATTTTGATGGTTTTGACCACCCCGGGGGAGCTGAAAATTTACAATTCTGGCAAGAATTTGCTCACTTCTTAAAATTCCAAATTTTAGGCTCAAAATAGACTTTTGAACATCTGTGGACACTGCGCAAATGATGTGGGGACTAAACAAAATTTGTCCGATTTTGATGATTTTGACCACCCCAGGGTGGTGAAAGTTTACATTTCTGGCAAGAATTTGCACACTTCTAAAAATTCCAAATTTTAGGCTCAAAATAGACTTTTGAACATCAGTGGACACTGTGCAAATGATATTGGGAATAAAATAAATTGTCCGATTTTGATGGTTTTGACCACCCTGGGGGAGCTGAAAATTTACAATTCTGGCAAGAATTTGCTCATTTCTTAAAATTTCAAATTTTAGGCTCAAAATAGACTTTTGAACATCTGTAGACACTGCAGGAATGATATGGGGACTAAACAAAATTTGTCCGATTTTAATGATTTTGACCACCCCGAGGGTGATGAAAATTTACAATTCTGGCGAAAATTTGCTCACATCTTAAAATTCCAAATTTTAGGCTCAAAATAGACTTTTGAACATCTGTAGACACTGCGCAAATGATATGGGGACTTAAAAGTTTTTATCCGATTTTGATGGTTTGACCATCCCAGGGTGGTGAAAATTTACAATTCTTGAAAGAATTTGCTCACTTCTTAAAATTCCAAATTTTAGGCTCAGAATAGACTTTTGAACATCTGTGGACACTGCGCAAATAAAATGGGGACTAAACAAAATTTATCCGATTTTGATGATTTTGACCACCGAAGGGTGGTGAAAGTTTACATTTCTGGCAAGAATTTGCACACTTCTTAAAATTCCAAATTTTAGGCTCAAAAAAGACTTTTGAACATCTGTGGACACTGTGCAAATGATATTGGGAATCAAAAAAATTGTCCGATTTTGATGGTTTTGACCACCCCGGGGGGGAGCTGAAAATTTACAATTCTGGCAAGAATTTGCACACTTCTTAAAATTTCAAATTTTAGGCTCAAAATAGACTTTTGAACATCTGTGGACACTGCGCAAATAATATGGGGACTAAACAAAATTTGATTGATTTTGATGATTTGAAAGCAATACTCTGGTATCGTGAACAGTGAACAGTGAATTGCAAGTTTTTGTATTTTAGACTGAAGGTGAAATTTATAGGTAAGAAGTAATGTTTACAAGACACCAGTGTTCTCTCGGTCATGCAACTAGATGATCTTGTTGTGAAACAGCTGGATGAAGATGTTCTTGAAGGAAATCCATTCCTCAAGCCAAAACAACATTGTGGCTGGACCAGCCAAGAACCAAATCGTCATTGGAGGATCCAAGGTCATCTACTATGGCCAGCAATTTGACACACGTGCTTCCATCTGACGTACTTGGGCCTTCGTCCTGATAGCCCCATCCAGACAGACAATCATACTCCCCGGGGACTATATTGATGCGAGTCTTCCACTCGATACCCCATCTGACTTACATCGGGGTCTGGAACCTAGATAAGAGTGGACAGTCCTAGCAACATGTGGGTTCCAATCTCAAAACCATGGTCCCTATGTCAGGATGTGACGTCTATTGGTCACGTAATTAGGATTGCAAACACAACTGACAATGAAGTCACACTTAAGAATCATGAGTACTTTTGTCAAGTGAGACCACTCCTGCAGGGCATTCACATCCTGTGATGAAGAAACTATACCCTCCACCAACTGCAGGTACCTCCAGATCTTTTTCCAAGTGTGTCTTGAAAGACCCAGACTCCATCCTTCCTGATGACATGCGTTAAAGGATTACCTCCCTCCATGAAGAGTTTGATGATGTGTTAACCCTTCAATCTACAAGTACGATGGAGTACGCCGAGACATAAAAGCTGTGGTTAAGATTGGACCGACACTTCCCCCTCAATGGAAAGCCGTTTACTACAGTATTATAAAGAAATGATGGACATGTGACAAGCAAAGTTTGATGAACTTGAGACACGAGGGGTATTCGCCAAACCAGAACTGGCCTCCAGTCAAACTATTACCATACCTCACCCAGCTGACCACCTGTGTATTGTCACTGATGCCGCTCTCAAATCATGACAGACAGACACAGACAGACAGACAGAAAAGTTTATTCGGTACTTCAGGCCACTGGCCCATAATACAATGGAAATATACTGTATATATATTTGCATGCTGAGTATTAATAATGATTCACCGTTCAACACTGTGTTTCCGTTTGATGTTCATGACTTGGAAGCTAAATTTACCTAAGCCTTTTATAATTTGTTCGTTTTCAGCTGACATAAGTCTTATAAAATTCTCAATAGAGGGAGGGTTAACGAGACGCTTGGGAAAAGAGTTTCTCCTTGCTCTAGAATACTGGTCACAAATCATAAGAACATGGAATTGATCTTCAACATGGTTATGTCCCTTTGAAAAACAGAAAGTGCAGACACGTTCATTATATGGGATGTTGTTGTGACGCCCCAGTTCAACAGCAAGTCTGAAATTATTACACCGGAACATGGCTATAAGTCTACGTTGGTGAGAAGACATATCACAAGTAATATATGATTCCACATTAAGTAATGACTTGAACTGTGAGTAGTAATTGCATTTCGTTGATGATGTCAGGTAAAAGTGCAAATTTTGAGTGAGGCAGTTGTAAAATCTTCGTTTAAAATCTGTCATGAAATGTTGAATATTACCAATGTCTTGGCTTAGCCAAACAAAACCAAATCCAAACTGGAATAAAATCATTCTAATATGTGATGCCCATGTAATTTTACCATTATCATCAAGAGATTTTAGTATATAATAAGCTTGGATGGGTAGCCTGTGTTCCATCTGAATTAGTCTGCACCAGTACTTGACTGCTCTTGACATGTAGTTATACTGTAGGGGGATCCTACCACAGTCTCCTAGAACCATGTTGTTGTTGGTGAACTTATAATTATTAACTTTCAAAAAGGATTTGCAGAATCTGTTATTGACACTCTCAATAATGTTACAGTAGCTGGTTTCCCAGATCTCTGAACCATAACATAGGATTGGTGAAATCCTAGCATCAACAATATTAAAAAGATCATGGTGATTAATGTATCCAAATTGTTTTTGATAATTATATATTGATAGAAGTGCTGTCCTTGCCTGGGCTGATAGACATGCTTGGGCCTTGGTCCAAAATAACTTTGGTGAGAAAATAATTCCTAAATATCTGTACATGTTGACAGCTTCTATCTGTTGACCATGCAAAAAAACACTTTTCATAACTGCGAAGAGGACCTCCATTCCGAAATACTATTATTTTAGTCTTATTCAGGTTGACTTTCATGCCAATATCATCACAGAATTTCTCCAGGGTTTTTATTTTCTTTTGAAGCTGTAGAGCAGTATCAGAGACGGATGACACATCATCAGCAAATAAAAGAGCAAATACACCAGGGATATGAGTAGATATAAACACACCTCTACCACCTTCTTCCTCCAACATTGAAACTAACAGATGATGTTGTTGGAGAACTTATTTACTTAGAATCTGTTATGGACACTCTCAATAATGTTACAGTAGCTGGTTCCCCAGATCTCTGATCCATAACATAGGATTGGTGAAATCATAGCATCAACAATATTAAAAAGATCATGGTGATTAATGTATCCAAATTGTTTTTGATAATTATATATTGCTTATATAGTAATTTTGAGATTTGTAATGAATGCCAAGAGTGGGTAAGGGGCGAACAAAGGGAGCTGTGTGTGGTGGATGGTTTGTTAGTTTAAGTGATTTTGGTTTTATTAGTCTAATTGGGGTTAAGATTAGACTAATTAGTCCTGTTTTAATTAGTATATGCCTTAGGCTTTGAATTTTTCTAATATATTCTGTGGATTTAGGATTGATTCTAGAGTAAGTGCAGTATTAAGATTTAGGGTGGTTTGTAGTGTGGTTTGGTGTGTTTGTGAATGAGTACGTGTTCTGGTGTTTCTTGTTGTTTACAGTGTGGGCAGGTTCCTGTTGCGTGCAGTTTAGCTATTTTAAGGTGGTTATTTAGTTTGGTGTGGCCTGTTTGTAGTTTAGTGATTATTCTATCGATTATTTTGGATGGGTGTAGTATTTTTGGTTAAGTTAGGGTTTTTTAAGAACTTTTCTGATTTGGCTATTTGAGGTTAGGTAAATATTTTTGTTGATTTTTTGTTTAGTGACACTTTTAATTTCTGATTTTGAGATTTGATATTTCTGGGAGTTTAAGGGATAATTTGGCTGCTTTATCGGCGTTTTCATTGACAAGGTTCCTACGTGGGCAGGGATCCAAATGAAGTCTATTTGTTTGCCTGCCATAGTTAAGTCGTTTGAGCTTTTGAGTATTTGGTTTATTCGTTTGGGGCGTTTTTTGTGTTTTTAATTTTGAGGGCTTGAAGTCCACTGAGGGAGTTGGTTAGAATAAGGATTTTTTTTTTTTTTTTTAGATTGCTGGTTGTATAGGGCTGAGGCTATGCCCATTACTTCGGCCACGAATATGGATTTGTTGTTTGGGAGTCGGTAGGATTTGATGATGTTAGTTGGTTGCGCAATGTAGACTCCGAAACCTGTGTGTTTGGAGATCGGATCTGAGGATCCGTCTGTGTATATGTGACACCAATTTGGCCAATTTCACCACATAAAACTCCGTAGATGTGATAGCGGTGTCTTCATCTTCTCATGCTAAAAATAGGCCAAATTCAAAGGTTACGATCTCGTGAAACAAGAGCGAGACCTAATTACCCATAAGCCCTTCTTCATCATGGCCTCATGCTAATAACACGTACGTATATTGCTGGAGATTTTTTTTGGTGAATATACAAAGTAATATGAGTAGTACTCAATCTAATATCCCCAAACAACCTTCCAAAGGTTCAGGGGATCATGACAAACCTCCCGAAAGTGGAGCAGTCAGTCAAGTGTCGTTAAATCTGGCCAGTACGAGCCATGATGACGACCACGTGGGTCCGAAGGTTAGATCTACTAACCGGGGTACGTCACAGGGCGTCAGTAGCGCAGGCAAACTAGATCAGTTACTTAAAGGTTATAGGATTCCTAGAAAAAGGAGAATTAACCACAGGATTGAACATGATATCTCAGACTGGTCTAGCTCGAGCGAGTCAAGTTCGAGTGACAGTTCGACTGATAGTGACGAGTGCGATGTGGTTGATAGTTATCATCCGCCTGGCACGTTTTCGGGGCCGGGTGCGGACGACTATATCGAACCCTCACAAAAGAGAGGTCGATTTTCAAACGTTTGTATCAATAAACTTGATAAACCCCGCTCTGAAAATGGTCCTGTAACTGTGGCCGGTTCAGCTGAACCAGTAGATGAATATGTCCCTTTTCGATCACACAGGCAGAATCAGATTCTTGGTCCTTGCCAAGCCATCTGTCTAATCATCTCAATACTCAGTTCTCTACCTTCAAAAAAGATAATGTGTTGAATGAGAACATTCTTGATGATCACCCCATACCTGATGAGCATTGTTTGACTGCTCCCCAACTGGATGGGTATTTAGATGATCTTTTTGAAGCGCGGGACAGGTCATTTGAGAAAAAAACAGATTTCTCTTTGCAGTTTATTCAAAAGAGAATGTTAAATGTCATGGATCCTTTGTCCCATTTATGGGGTAATCTTGACAAAATCAGACACAGGGAGGCTTCACCTGATTTAGACATTTATGAACTTCTTGACATTGTAGAAAAGTCAGTCTGCCTTGTGGGACAAGCTAACTTGTCAATCAATTTCCACAGGCGGCTTTCAATTTTATCCAAACTGGTTAAGGATCCAAAGAAAGCCAAAAAGTTGCTTTACAAGTATGAGGGTACCTTTGCCGATGCTAAAGGGAAGCTCTTCGGAGACCCCTTTTACAACACGCTACTCGCCGAGGTGAAGCGTAAGCAAAAGGCCAGGGATATTCTTGGTGGGCGGCATTCGGCTCCTAAGAAAAGATTAATTTCTTTAGAAACCAGCCTTTCTCGCAGCAGCCCTTTCATGGAGAGCCCTCAGGTAAGCCCAGTTCGTCTGGGGGCGGATTCAGAGTTCAGGCATCCTTCAATCCCAGGAGAGGAGGGAAAGACCGTGGTGGCAAAAGAAGAAGATCCTTAAGACCATATAGGTTTGTATCACTCTCTTTCAACAAATACCGATGCCATGAAGCGCGGCATAAGTTCAAGTCCCTTGAATCTGAATGCTCAAAATCCAGAACATCCAGACAGTATGTTACCAGAAACAGAAGATCTAAAATTAGAAAGCATTCCTTTCCCGGAAAATATTTTGGGGGGCAGAATAACACATTTCTACACCAATTGGGCAAAAATTACTCTAGACCCATGGATTCTTCAGACCGTTCAGGGCTTTCAAATCGAATTCATTCAAAAGCCTATCCAGAGAAAACCACCTCCACCGTTAACTCTTTCTCAGGTGAACCAGGTTGTACTGGACAAGGAGATTGGGAACATGATGATGAAAGGGGCGATAGAAGAGATTCTTCCGGGTGTGAATCTGGAGGATTCTCAATCTCAGTTTTTGAGTCCCATGTTCGTAGTTCCCAAAAAAGACGGGGGTCAGAGACCAATACTCAATATGAAAAAACTGAATGCTTTCATTCCATACAATCATTTCAAGATGGAAAGCCTTTCACTCCTGAAGGATGTCATTCAGGAAAACGCTTATATGTGCAAACTGGACCTGAAGGATGCATACTTCAGCATCCCAATTGCCAGGCACCAGAGGAAATTCCTCCGCTTTCAATGGAAAGGGCGATTGTTTCAGTTTCTCTGCCTTCCATTTGGCCTAGCGCCAGCTCCACGGACGTTCACCAAATTGCTGAAACCTGTGGTAAGCATTGCACGCAGAGCAGGTATTCGGTTGATCATATACCTAGACGATATGATTCTCTTTGCCCACAGCCCAGAGAGTCTAGTTCGTTGCCGAGAGAGTCTCTTGTATCTTTTGAAGAACCTAGGTTTCATTATCAACAAAGAGAAATCAGTTCTTGTTCCGTGTCAGAACCTCAACTTCCTGGGTTTCGAGATAGATTCTCAGTGTCTCACTCTAACACTTCCCCAGAAGAAAGTGACAGACATCCTTCAAAGATGTCACAGGATACTGAAGCTACCAGTGGTAAAGATTCGAACACTGGCCACTTTGTTGGGAAAGCTTTCAGCATCCATGAGAGCTATTGTTCCAGCCCAGTTACACTGCCGGTTCCTACAAATGCAATCATCACGGGAACTATTGGAACACCAGAGCTACGAACACAGGATCAAACTTTCCAGGAAGTGTGTGCAAGAAATTCACTGGTGGGTAGACAATCTGTCGACCTTCAACGGCAAACCCATTTCAGCAATCCACCCAGATCTGATATTACAAACAGATGCTACCAATCTGGGATGGGGGGCAGTTTGCAATCAAGACCGGACTGGAGGTCGGTGGAGTCTGGAGGAGAGCAAATTCCATATCAATGCTCTCGAACTGAAAGCAGTTCTACTGGCTCTTCAGTGTTTCTGCAAAAGTCAGTCAGGCATGTCCCTTCTGGTCCAGGTAGACAACCGCACAGCAGTCTCTTATGTGAATCGTCAGGGGGGGACAAAGTCTCATGTTCTAGACACAATAGCCAAAGAAATATGGGACTTCTGTCTCCAGAGAAAGATAACTCTGGAAGCACAGTATCTACCGGGCAAGGAGAACATCATTGCAGACTGGGAGAGTCGCCATTTTGCAGATTCGAGCGAATGGCTCTTGAATCGCAAGGTGTTCAACCAGTGCAATCAGAGACTTGGCCCTCACTTGATAGATCTTTTTGCATCCCGCCTATCACATCAACTGGAGAAGTATGTCAGTTGGAGACCAGATCCCCAGGCAACTTACATAGATGCATTTCGGTTGGAATGGAAGGGGGCGAGAGGTTATGCCTTTCCCCCGTTCTCCATGATCGGGAGATGTCTGTGGAAAGTAAGGAGGGAGAGGGCAGAACTGACCTTGATAACTCCAGTGTGGCAGGGCCAGGCGTGGTACCCTGTCCTGTTGGAGATGTCAGTGGAGTGTCCAATACTTCTACCAGTGTGGGCCGACTTGCTGGAATCACCACAAGGTCAAACACACCCTCTGGTAGCACTGCTATTAGCGGCCTGGAGGGTTTCAGGAATCTGGTCACTTCAGGAGGCATTTCGCAAAAAACTGCCGAGCTTTTGTCACACCAGTGGAGACCAGGGACGCAAGGAGCTTATAATTCCTCCTGGAAGAGGTGGTCTTGCTGGTGTGTGGAACGGCAAATCAATCCCTTTTCTGCCTCTTTGGAACATATCCTAGAGTATCTAACCCACATGTATGAAAGTGGATCTGAATACAGAACCGTTAACACTAGCAGATCAGCTTTGTCTGCTTTTCATCCCCACATACATGGCTACCCAGTTGGTCAACATCCTTTGACCAAGAAACTTATGACAGCTATTTTCAATCAGAAACCTCCATGTCCTCGATACCACCAAACTTGGAATGTAGACGTGGTCCTGGACCATATTGGTAATATGCCTGAAAATGGTAAATTATCAGATAAGCATCTGACAGAGAAACTGGCTATTTTGTTGATGCTTACATCAGCAAGTCGCGCAGCTGAACTTACTTCCATGAACGTAAAGTTCACATCTGACAAGGGAGACAAGGTGGTCTTTCTTTTGACAAAGCCCACAAAGGTCTCTAAGCCTGGGTCAGAACCTCATAAGTTGACCATACAAGCCTATCCTAAGAATCCTTTGCTCTGTGTAGTGCAGTGTATCAGAGACTACCTTGACCGCACACTCCTGTGGAGAAAGGATGGGGATAGAGATAAGTTATTACTCAGTTATGTGAAACCCCACAAACCTGTATCCGCAGCTACAGTTGCTAGATGGGTAACTAATGTGATGAAGGATGCAGGGATCAATGTTACAGTGTATAGAGCACACTCTGTCCAGGGGGCTTCTACATCAAAAGCTTACACTAAAGGTGCTTCGATCACTGAAATTTTAGAACTGGGAAACTGGTCTAGAGCATCTACTTTCAAGCAGTTTTACTTGAGGGAGACTAAAGAATGTGGAATCCAGTTTAAAATACTTAACTAGAGCTTTAAAGCACCGCTATCACATCTACGGAGTTTTATGTGGTGAAATTGTTAATTTCATAAGCACATGTAATGTGTGAATTGAAATTATAATTTCATTAATAAAACGAAGTAGATGTGATAGCCCCACCCTTGAATTTCCCTCCCTAGCTTGTATTTTGACTGAATTGTATCTCTTTACAGAGGACGCCATTAGGAGGAGACCTGGCTGAAACTCCCACATTCCAGATGTCCAGCTTGGACCAAGATTATCCGTCCGGTTGCAGTCTCAGATGAGACTGTTTTTGTAGTTCGCGTTCGCATTAGGGTTACTTGTCACCTTAATTTGGGACATCCCAAATAAATGTTTGATTGAAGCTCTTTTCTTAGTTGTTCTTTTAGCACTTCGGCATAATGAAGAAGGGCTTATGGGTAATTAGGTCTCGCTCTTGTTTCACGAGATCGTAACCTTTGAACTTGGCCTATTTTTAGCATGAGAAGATGAAGACACCGCTATCACATCTACATATGTACTTCGTTTTATTAATGAAATTATAATTTCAATTCACACATTACATGTGCTTATGAAATTAACAATTTTCGTGTATGTATGCTAGTGTGGTGGTTTTAGCGATGTTAGGGTCAGACTGTATATTTAGTGTATTGACTAGTGTTGTGTCTATCTTAGGTATTTTAAGTTTTGGGGTTAAGATATTTGATTGTTTACTGTTTTGTTTGAGATTATTTATTTTGTGTTCATTAAGGTAATTAATTATTCTTTGGGATATTGGAGTAGTGGATATTTCCGGGCTAGGACCTGGTATTTGGCGCTAATATTGTTGTTTATTATGTTGACTGAGTATGACTGAACAGCCGCTTTTAAGGCTGCAGACGAGCCGGATATTTTGAAACGAGGAATCTGCATGGTGTGACCTGTCAATTTCAAGATTTCACGAATCCAAAGCCAAATAGTAACATAACTTAGATATTTGTGTCTCGGAAATAGTGGATTGTGTATGATTTTCTTAATTGTGCGTGTTCTGAAATGAATTTCATCAAGTTTGATAAGCTGTCACTTCAGTAGGGACATTGTTTACGTGGACTTTCAAAGGGGAGTGTTTTCTGATGGACTTTCAAATCCCCTCCTGCCAAATTCTAACGGTGGTGGTTGACGGAGATTGTAACGAATATCGATCAGAAAAAGGTTTGTAAACAACATGTTACCATGAATAAAGTTTTTTCTAACAATTTTTATGGTGTTATATTTTACTTTCATTGTCGGTTGTTACAATGAGGAAATAGCTTAAATTGTTCCGATTCTGGTCACCATAGAACATTTCTCCAACAGTTTCTTAAACATTTCATTTGTATGCAAAATATATGCCTTCGTTAAATCTTTTAATGTCATCATCGAAGCAGTCAGGGTTGCGGCCTAGAACGCCCCAAACATCCGATATCAAACTACCGTATTTCCTCTATTTGACGCAACGCCGTCTATTAATTTCGCGAGAGCCCTTGACTCGGCGTGTATTAGAGACCTGACTGGTATTAGAGACCCAGCGTGTATTAGAGGAAATAAAGATTCGTTGTACAGTTTATATGGGGATGATCGATCGGCAGCCATTTTTTTATGAATCGATATGTAGGCTTTCTATGTATTCATGCGCACGTTTTTTGTGAAGAGGCTTAGAGAATCTAATATACTGAACAGCATTGAAAACGCACCAGCAATAAATCTTGAAATATTACAAAAACAACTTGAGCAATGACTGATTTTGATTAGAACAGACATAGACAGATTATTAAGAAAGACAACAAAGGAAACAGGAATACCACACAGTAATTACAATTACGTCATCAGTGTAAGGAAGACACATAGGGTTAAAATGAAAAGTCAATATCTGGTATGTCCGTCATTGACAGCAATACAGGCCATGCAACGTCTTCTCATTGATCGAAAAAGTCTGAGAATAGTGTTCTGGGGCAATCCACTCTTGACATAGTGTATCATCAAGTTCTCTCAGGTTCTGTACTTGCGGACGACGTGAGATGCGTTGACCCAGGTAATCCCATAGATGTTCAATTGGCGATAGATCGGGTGACAGGGCTGGCCATAGAAGCAGAGGCACATTGTTGTTCGCTAGGTACTGTGTTGAAACACGTGCTGTGTGTGCTCTTGCATTATCTTGCTGGAAGGTGTGCATATCCTGGTGCTGAAGAAAAGAATGGAATGACGTGATTTGCCAATATGTTATTCCTGTAGTAAAGGGCATTAACTCTTCCACGACAAACATGGAGCTCTGTTTGATGGTTATGACTGATGCCCCCCCAGTCATTGTGGTAACGTTCTCCACGTCGACGCCACACTCGCAGTCGACCGTCAGCATTCCGTAAATGAAAACGGGACTCATCAGAGAAGGGCACACCATGCCACTGCCGCAATCTCCAATGACGATGCCTTTTGGCCCAACGCAGACGTTCATTTCGATGTCGATCAGTGAGTATGGGTCCAACATATGGACGTCGAGCACTAGCCCTGCTGAGCGGAGACGTCGACGTATGCTGTCAGCACTGACCATTTCCGTCGGCCTTGTACGGTTGCTGCAGTCCTGGTAGCCGGAAGTGTACGATCACGAAGATGCCGACGAACAATATGGCGATCCTGACGTGGTGTAATTACACGACGTTGACCCGGACGTGGTCGATCTCTGGGGGTTCTTGGCTGCTGGTATCTGCTCAGTAGCCTGAGGACTGTTGAATGATGGCATTGAAACCGTTGTGCACGTTCCTCTGCTGATAATCTTGGCATTTCTTGTGTCAGTACCCTTTACGTCTGCAGCAACAAGTGATGTGGCTTTTAAAAGTATGTCTTTTATAGCCCTATTCTGCATGCTTCCCGTGAAACAAAACACGTTTTCCATGATGTGCACGCAATTTGTTGCGTTTTGGCGATTTCGCTCACAAAAAAAATTAGGAATGTGTTTTGACGAGCTGTTCTTCTTCATGCTTCGTCCAGAACGTCGTATATTACTCATTCACTTATATAATTTCATAAGCCTGGATAAAAATACATCCATTTTCATGGTGGTGCGTTTTCAATGCTGTTCAGTATATATTTGAAAGAGGTTTCCGTAGCAAAACAGAATCAAGCATTCATTAATGTCATGGTAGAATATCTAATAGTAATAATATTTGGTGCTCGCAAATATTTAAACGCATCCTGCACCACAGATGACATACACACACAAAGGCAAGTCAAGTGTTCACCAAAAAAAAAGCACGGGTACATATGGTATAAGTCAAAATAGGGATTTGGCTACTGGTTTTGATTTGGTCACACTTGTAAATGTCCTCCACCTATCTTCCGTTAACCATTTTGAAAGCTGTATTGAGGCTTTCAATGTCATAAGCCTGATCAAACAAGTTTTGAGCAATTGAATGAAAGAGTATGGTTTTTAGACCACTTTTAGCAATCTTCCAGCAATGTTATGTTGGGGGACATTGTGCCATTATGGGTAATTTTGTCTTTTGACATTCTTTGAAATCTTCATAGAAAGAGAATGCTTGGTTGATCCTCAAAAGTTGTGAAATGTAGACACTTAAGGATGGAGGTGCTGGAATTTTGCTTGAGGTAAATTGATGTCATCCCCCCTCCTACGGACTTATGAATATGTTGTTGTCGCTCTCATTCTGAATGCATAGATCTAAATACGGAACAGATGAGGTGGTTTCTGTTGTGTCAAGTTCAGGTAGTTAAATCAGTGGAAAGTAATTGGCTATTTGACGATTATTGAATATTATAAAATCAGTGATGTTCAAGTTGCTTAAGTTAAACACCTTGGCCAAGTTGCTTTGTTTAGATTTTGTCAAGTTGAGCAGAATTTCCGATTCATATGCATAAATAAACAAATCAGCAACGAGGGGAGCACATTTGTATGAATGGTGTCCTTGCCTACTAAATGCCTAAATGTCCTATCTCCAAATTTATAATTTTCAACTTGAGGAAGTCCCGCATTTCACATATTGTTTTCATGTTTAACTTCAGATGACATGTGCTTTCATTTTTGACAAACTGACCTTCGAAGAAGGAGAAGGAACGATTTTTATTGTCACCATGGTTTGGTATAATGGCTGAATATTGTTTGTGTAAAGGTTGTGGTGCGGATAAATACAGACTGATACCTCATAGCAAGAAGATGGTATTGTACGTTGATGAGCTTAGAAGGTTTGC